ACCAAATACTCAGCACATTTGCTAGGAGATGAGGCACCATTGAGGTGCTGCCTCCTCATCCCAGCAGGCAGCCTCGTTCCTTTGGGGTTTAAAGAAAGAATTCACAGCTCCATCATGCACCTCTGAGTGCCAAATGTGCTCCAGAACTTTTCCACCTCCCAGAGGTGACATGGTGTCAAAGCAGGTGATGCTAGGATGTGTTATTAACGAGGCCGTGGGAGTTATACGACACGCAAGGGCAAACAGAAGGAGAGAATATCACAGGCACAGGTGCCCAGGCACTGTCTGCCCTGACTCCCAGTGCATGTTGTGCAGGTCCCCCAAGGTTCCCTCCCTGTCTCATGCATTTTCCTAAACATTCTCTCGTGCTCTGGCTAATTTTAGCCTCTGTGCTCTGCTGAGGTCTCTTTGGCACCCTCAGGTGTTCCATGTGCCACTGTAAGCTCAGGCCATGCTCACTGAACTATCTTCACCTCTGTAAAAGGAGCAAGCCCTAAAACACGCACGGTTAGAATTCCGGTTTAGCCTTCTTCCTAAGAATAGTCCTTGGGCTGCATGTGGGCAGGGACATGACTTCCTACCTGCTATTCCTGGAGCTCCTTTCCTGCCCAGACCTAACCCCTCCTAAAGGCACTTCCTTCAAGAGACTCCTAAAAGACAAATGCTGGGGGTGATGCTGTGAGCCTGAGGTGGCTTTGCCAACAAGGAAGAGGCTCTGTGTCCCCAGGAGTGAGTGTGATGATCACAGAGTGAAACGTGGTGTTACAGGTGTTCCAGAGGACCCTGCATTCCTACCCCTCCTGCTCCACTACCGTCTCCTCACACTGCCAGCTTTTCCTGTTCCTCCTGCTTACCACAGCTGTAACTTTCCATCCTTGGAAAGTGTTTGATACCAAAATCTCAGTGATTCCTCAAGCCAGGAGCCAGGCTGGTCTTTCCCAGAAGCAGTGAAAATAAGCAGCTTTAGCTGGAACTCTCCAGCCACTTCCCAGCAAGAGGACTCTGCAGTGCAGCCCCACCAAGCAGCCAGGCCTGCTGGCAGGTGCCAAGGGAGCAGCTTGAGCAGAGGAAAGGAAGTTTTGATAGCTGCCAGTCTGCAGTCACACTCTGGTGACTCACACCAACTGCATCAAGGCAGGCCTAGAAAGCCAAACCTAATGTGTCATTTCCTTCCTCTTCCTCTCCCAGGACAGCAGTTCATGGGAGGCCCCACTGACCTTTAGTCTGAAGGGATGAAAGACTGGAGCTGACAGAGGTGTGTGTTCAGGGAAAGAAAGCATCAAGGCTTACATTTACTTGCTTTTCTGGGCCTGCTTGTGTTCCATGCATTGCTTCCTTCCAAACTGAAGCAGGGGAAACAAAAGAAGTCCGAGGTTTGTCTCCCACTCTTGGCAGAACTCTTTCATACTCATCAACACACTCAAGAGTGGGTTGATTTCTGAACAGTAAGCAGTCAATATCTGCAGCTGAAGCCAAGAGCTATTGTAGATTCGAGAAAAGAATACACTACAAACCCCTCAACAACACAGTTATGAATTACTCGACCGAACTGATACTGAAAAGAGGAAACCATTCTCTCCACAGAACATCCTCCCAGGCAGTATGTAAGGAATCCTGTGGAGGGGAACGTGGAACAAGGCCGAACACTGTCCTGGCAGCTCTTCACCAAACACAAACCTGTGAGCAGGTCACTTCCAGCTCCTCTAATGTCTCGTGAGCCAGTGCACACAGTGAGTAAGTGCTGAAGCCAAGGGGCCTTGTACCTTCCCCTGGGAGGTAAATGACCCTTTCCAGAAACAAGGTCATTGTGCCACTTACAGCACAAGCACTGAGCTTTCCCAGGCTCCAGGATAAACCTTGGCAATCAGCTGGGCACCACCAGGTGTGAGTTACAGACACACATGGCTGGAGGCACTCATGGTGTCTCAGCTGCTCCTTTTCCTTAGGGATGCCAGTGACCTCCCAAAAACCAGAACAGCTCCCTGGACTGGGACAGCAGCCAACACGTATCTCAGTCTTGTGACATGCCACATCAGGATCAAAGTTCTTCCCAAACTAAGTCTTCGCACTGCTGTTATCTGAGGTGAACCTTGGAAGTTTTTTTTCTTTCCCCTGACGCAATTAAGATGAAGCAATATTTCTCTTTCAGATCTTTCTTCTGGACTTGTTTCTTGTGCTGTGACCACGAGGATCTGGTCAATAATTACTAGTATCATCAAAACACCCTAATGGCTCCTGTGCAGGTGCCCAGGAAGGTGTGAATGTACACTGCTAATAGCATGCACCCATAGATTGTTTCCGTATCATTTCAGTTTAATTTTTCCACCCTGGTATTTATTGTGGTAGGAGATTTTTATTACACTTGCTGTAATATCAGAAAGCAGATTAAGATAGTCCTCCTGAGGAGGTGCTTGAGGCAGGAGGTGACAGAGAAGGAAGTGGCATCAATAAAACCTCAGTGGTGTAGTCACACAGGAGGAGCTGTGCTGGGTTTGGAAGCACCAGGGCAAGCAGATACTTACATACACGGGGCTGCAATGAGTAGCTACTTCCAGCTCTGCTTCCATCCTCCTTTCCACGTACCCAGAGAACCCCACAGGCAGAGCTGGCCTTGGTTTACACGAGTGGGAAGTCTTTAACTGCACAGAGTAAGGTGCAGTTGTGCGTCAGACACCTGAATTACAAAGTGCCTCACCCGGTGTGCAGGGGCACCCAGACCGGCTCTAAGAATTGTGTGGTGTGTGGGCTAAGGGAGCTCAGAGAGGGAGTGATGATTTCTACCAGGTAACCACAGGGCAGCAACTCTTGTTAGAGCCCATAAATATTTTGCCCCGTGATGCAACACAGAGCTCAGCCAGCTGGAACAGAAGCGAGTAGCCAGGAGCTCCTAATCTCGTGTTAGAAATAAATCATATCTGCCCCACAGTCTGTCTGGAATTAGCTAGTTACACAAGGCATAACCTTGCTGATAACCAACACTGTTATCATGGCTTACCTGAGGTTTACTCTGGCTTCCTTTTGATTCTAGCACATCAGTAATCAGAGCTGTTCTGAACTAGCTCATTGCAGCAGGATTTGGGTGTGGAGGGTGTTTGTAAAACAAACCTGTCCCTGTGCAGCAGCCAACACCCCCACAGAAACCCCCTGTGCCTCACTCAGGTGCTCCTGCCTGCAGCCAATACTTGGATAAACCATTTCTGCCTGACACCTTGCCCAGATTTCCCATAGGATCTTGCATAACCTCTGTCCTTTATGAGAATATTGTAATATGCAGGCAAAGGTCATGGGATCCATCCACCCCATTACTGAACCGTGCCAGTGGAAGTCTTCCTTCAGCACTGAAACAATGAACCCCACACAATGCTTAGCAGAGCTATTCAGCCATGATTCAACTAAAATGTCATCCATGAATGTGGCAAATAAACAGTTTTCAGAGCATTCCAGAGAAATAACCTCCCTCTGGCTGAAGCTCCATTCATAAATCAGGCACAGGATGCAGTATCAGAAGACTTTTTATACAAGTTTTTAATAAAAAAATTCAACAAAAATATATATAATTGGGCATTTTATGCAATGCATACATTCTTTATATCTGCAGGTACAGATAAATAACAGAAGGCAAAACCAAGTATTTTGCTTATCTTTGGCCATTAACCAATAGTCACCCAAAGAGCTATTACAGGGTTAAAGAACCATAAACTGAGTCTGTAAGTGTGTCCCATTACAGACACAGCATCAGGCAATAATACAGTAGTCAGATTCTCAGAAACGCAAGGAAACAGTTCTTTAACACTGCCCAATACTGAAATTTCACCTGGTTTGTGCTATGGAGCATAAGGCCTTCTTGAGCTGACACACAGGCACAGTCCTGGATTGCATTGGATCCACTCCAACCCTTACAGCCTCTGTCCCTTCTGCCCTACAGAGCCAACCTGTGCCTCCTCTCGAGCCACCAGCATGAATTCTGACCTGTGTGTTGGTCTCCTCACCCCAACCAACACAGAGAGAAGCCTAACTGCTCTGTAAGTCTCTACTTTCCTCCCTCAGGGCTGTCCTTCCCCTTCCAGCACAGATGCATCATGGCTCTACCAAAGCAATATATACATGAGACACATTACAGGTCATAGAAGCCATTTGAAAGGTACATGGATAACATGTAGCAGCTTATGTCTATGTATGTACATGTTTTCACAGTTATACTTTAGAAAATTGAGAACACCAGGAATACTTCTACTGTGTTTTCTATAAATAGTAAAAAAATTACCTGTCAGGCATTTTGACAAAATAGTATTTAGGTTATCACTTTAAATAGCTCTTGAAAACCTGTAGAGTTTTAAGCTTAAAGGCTGTACAGTCTGAGGATTCTGGAAAGTGTTTGCAGCCAGTTTCAGCAGCTGAGCCACCTGTCTCCTCCTGATCAGATCTGGTAACAGAGGAACTGCAGCACCTTGGAGGGGACGGGCAAGGCCCTGACCTGGCCGGTGGGCATGACCCTGCGGATGGCCATGCGGCACAGGTGCTGCAGGCTGCACACCTGCCTGGGAGTCGCCCAGAAGTGCACACTGCCATCCTGGGTCCTGCAGAACCAACAGAAACATGCCAGGGTTACTCCTCCAACGGGCCCAGCTCTGCACCACCCCTCACACGCCGACGGGCAGGTGCTGCTGGTGCTCCCTCCCACCTGCTCCTCCACACCCCGGGCCAGGCCAGCAACTTGCCCACGCAACAGGCAGAGCACATCTCCCAGCAGCTATTGCTGTACCACCTGACAGAGCACCTGCCCTGGGCTACCTGATGGGCTTTTTCCAAACCACGTGCTTTGTGTCTCTCTCGTATTTATTTTCAAAGATAAGAAAGGAGTTTATCAGATTATTGATTTTCCCACTATTCCAGGCATGTTTAAACAAACAGTACCAGTCAGCAGCACCAAGCTCCAAGTCCCAGCTGAAGACTTTTACAACACTTAGCCACTGTTTTCAATCTTTAGTGTTACCTTGGTATTTCAGAAAGGAAAGAAAGCAGATACTTGCCCTGCAGCTAGAACACTGCCATCGGTAGAGAAAGTACAGCAGAGCCCATTGTTCAGAGGGGCCACTTGCACTGGGTATTCCTCATCAATCCTCCAGAACCTCACCATCCTGGGGAAGGACAAGGCAGAAGTGAGTTGAGCCTGTATAATTCTGCTTGCTGTTTTCCCTGATGCTGCACAAGAAACTAGCCTGAAGCACAGCTCAGGGAATGTTCATGAACACTTCAGCAGGCACACAAGGTGCTCCAGATTTGGCCTGAAATGCTCCCACTTCTTCTTTCCCAGTAACTGCCTCGATCTGCACTTCTTCAGGTAAAAAATGATTGCCTAAATCTGTGGTTCAGGTATTGCCTTCTGCTGCTGAAGGCAATCTCTCTGAAGTGTCACACATGCTAGAATTCCCCCCAAAGCTTGTCCTAATTAAACCAACTGTCACCTTGAGCAAGCAGTGTCCACATTCTAAACCCATAGCTCTTCAAGCTACTCCTCGTGCAGTTAGCATCGCTGAATACGAGATCACAGAGTGCTCTTCTCTCTGCTTTGGATTCTGCTGCTATGCACAGGACTAGTCTGCATTAACAGCTCCACTCACAATCCCTCTCTGTTGTTTCCAGCTCTACACAGATCATCTGTTCAACACACAACTAATGGTTTCCACATTCAAGATTAGCATTAACATGTGCTGGACAACTCGCCTGCTTTTGCCACAGGCATCAGAAGCCATTTCTCAGTTAAAACCCCCAGACTTGACAGTAATTCCAAGCTCCCCCATGAGAGGAACCCCAGGGGCCTCACCAAGCCTCCCTGTACTCACTTGTCATCAGCCAGGCTGGCCAGGTGCAGCCCGTCGTGGCTGAAGGACACAGCTCGCACCCAGCGGTCGTTGGCACCTCCGGCGAAGATCGGAGTGGGAGGAGGGAACAGGTGCCTGGGGAGACACACTCAGCTGATGGGGCACACTGGGAACTGGGCAGGGGCTCCCCCAGCCAAGGCCAGCAAAGCTGAGCAATTAAAAAGGGATCGAACATTTAACTACAAAACTCTAATTCAGGAGTGGAGCCTGAACTACTCTGTCATTTGGAGGACCCAACACTTCAGCTCTGCTGAAGATGCTTAAACCAGTACACATGAAAATCTCAGTGCTGTAAAACTCTCAGATGGAAAAACGATCTCCAGTCTCTGCACTTCAGGATGTCCACCAGCCACTGCTCTTCCCAAGTGCAATTATCAGCTGAACACACAAACCCGCCGGTCTCTGGGAGTCACCTCTCGGGCAGCGTTTCCAGATTCAGCTGTTTCACTTACCCAAATTCCATAAGAATGACTCCAACATGTGGATCCCAGACATAGACTCGAGTATCATAAGATGCAGTAGCCAGCAATGCTCCATCAGGAGAGAACTCACAAGCTACAACATCATTGTGATGTCCTTCGAGTTTCCGTAGCATGGAGTATTTGTCCATATCCCAGAGGAACACCTGCAACCAAACCAGCTGATGTTATAGCTCTGCTCACTGAGGCAATGAAGCACTTAATCTCTTTTTAAGGATAGCTAGTCTTATTTAGGGTTATATTAAAATCAGGTATTATGAATTACTACAATTAAGAAATATGCTCAGTGTCATACTCAGATTAAAATCAAGTTGCTTTTAAAAACAATTAAGCAGACATGCAAGTTCTAACTCGGGTTTGTTAATGTTATTAACAAAACAAGCCAAAATATGAGATAAAGGCAACACAATTTAACCACGTAGCTCACTGAATCCGTGTATTACGGGACTATTTTATTAAAATATGCAGAAATAATGGGGTTAAACTCTACAGCTCCCTCCTTTCAGTTACTACCAAAATTGTAAGAAATATACAGACAGAAAACGTAAGGTTAACATATTGTTACTCCAGTGGATCCCTTTGAGTTTAAGATCACTTGTTTACAATTGCTTGGATCACCAACGTCAGCCTAGGAAGAGAAACAGATACTGCAAGCAAAAAGAATTTTCACAGCCAAAAATTAAGTCTTTGGCAAAACAACAGGGAAGTCTAACCACATGATTAGACAGAATTTAGGCATTTTAAGTCAAGGCAACAGTAACAAACAACATTACTACTGCAATTTACCCTGCTAATGCACAGTGTCTGGTGGGGATGGATAAAGTATCACAGCAGTCTGGGGTTTACATGCAGGTGTGCATTGGATCTAATCACAATGGAGACTGTGCAGAATTACTTAATAGGAGCTATCCATGTACTGCAGATTTATAGCAATGTGAGCCTTTAGCAAGAGCTGCTACGTCCCTCAAGGAGCTCACTGGGGGCCTTGATTCCTCCCCTGAGAGTTTTACTGCACAGCTCAAATTCTGACACCTTGGACAGATTTGTGTTTGGCCAGGCAAACAGCCTCAGTGCCTCCCACACCTCCTAGCCAGTCAGCCACAAAGTGCTGACCAACTGTTCCAAGGAGACCCCAACATCCCCCAGGCTGGAGGCTAAGTTTGAGGAGTCTGTGCCACTGCTGTGAAAATTATTAAAAACCAAACTAAAAGAAAGAAAGAAAGCAGAAGGTGGACATCGACCAGCACCTGCGTACGTACAGGACACCTTGCAGGGAGGGCAAGGTAACTTCGTCCTACGGTACAGCTCGCCCAGGCTGGTGGCCAGAGATGTCACTCTCTGCCCCGCCAGCACCACTGTGCTCCTGAGTGGTGCCAGCTTAACTCAATCACACCAATATTGCTGCCACCACCTGTGACAGGGAAAGCAAGAAGCTTATGGAAAACACACAGCCTACAGACAGCAATGTATACATCCCCATCTGCTCCACACACAGCAAACCAAACCCCAGACCTCAGCTCTGCTCTAGCAAATCTGCACCGAGAGCTCAAGGTGTAAAATGCATCTGAGCATCATCCAGAGAAGTGGTGTCCAGTGGTGGAATTGGGCTTCACTCAGCCCCCAAGGCCGCATTAAACTCCCTCCAGAGCCCCTGGAGCCAGACTGAATCCCCTCTCTGGTGTGCCCCAATCTGCAGTGCCAAGCAGAGCAGCTCTGGCACAGGTGCACTGCTTTCAGTTCTCTGGCAGGGCATGAGGGTATGGATGGAACAAGCCCAGGGTGCTGCTCTTCCTTCGAATTACTGAGGCACCAGTGCCATGGGGATGGGAGAACTGGGAGGAACATTTGTGCTCAGCAGCAGATACCCTGACTGGCTCAGACTTTGAAAAGTCCTTCTCATTGAGCAGGAAATAGAAAGGACAAAATCAAAACTAAAACAGTTTCATGCATTACTCTAAGTATCTTTTAACGCTGGCAGCTTTAGTCATCTTTGGTCTCTGCCATGAACCCGTGCAGATGTGCAGACCTAGTGCTCAGGGAACACCTACAGCCTCTTCAACTAAAAGCAGTGCAAGTTCCATTCACAAATCAGGGTCTCAGTTTAATTTCATGCACTTTTACGTCATCGTCAAACATTAGAAGTTCATGACACCGAGCACAAGCTTAATGTTACTTAGATTTAAAATGATTATGCACACAATTCAGAGCTCTAAGGAACAAGGAACTCTGACACATACTGCTTTACTAGCTCCAACAGAGCACAGAATGGAGGAGTCTGGTGAGAATGCACAGCCATACACCCAGTTCTGGTGGCCTCTCAGCACCTTCATCATGTTTCCTGAAAGCAAAGACATTGCTGTAAGAATCGGTGACACGTGACAAAATTCAGACTGCAAAGCTTTTCCAAATTAGCTATTCCTTTATAAAATTGTGTGCTGCTTTTCCAAACAAAATTACAGCATGCAGAGTACATCTAGACAGAAGTAAGTCTCCTGTGATGCAGCCTCTACACACCAGGGCCCCAGGCAGAAAGGTCACTGCATGCACTCTTAGCTTACACCTTCAGGGTCTGTATGGACAAAGAATCCCAAGGCACGTACCATCATCCTTGAGGTCCCACACGCGCAGGGTTTTGTCTCTGGATGCAGACACCAGGATCAGGCTGCCATCAGGGGCAAAGGTCAGATCCCTGACCACTTCTGTGTGGTCCATCAGGTTGAGGAGGAGCTTTCCTGGCACAAGAGAACACCACAATTGAGCCTGCTGTGCTTTCGTTCTAATGCCTTATGGATCAGAATACTGAACATGAAACCACCACACGTAAAGACAGTTTTCCTTGCAGAAATGCTCCCTACAGTGAGCAGCACGTGGATCCTTTCACTGTCCTGTGGCAAGAGCAACTTCCTCAAGAGCCAGGAAATCTATACACTAGAGCCCCAGCAATAAGGCAGGAGCTGCCTTCTCACAGACATCCCTGTTCCACGCTGCAGTTTGTAAGGTAGTGACAATGACTCAACGAGCATTCACCTCAAAGCTGAGTGTCCCCAGCCCAGCAGCTGTGCTGCCAGTGGAGCTGTGAGACTCTGGCTCTGAACAGCTACTTGCTTCTAAATACATAAAAGATCCTCATCAACATCAAGCAGCAACTTCATGCCTTGAAAATTCCTTTGGAAGTGTGATAAAACTGGGAAGACTTTGAGTAAGCACCCAGTGTGTGTCTGTATACACTGAAACACTCTGCAGCAGCAATGCTGCATCCCCCACCGCTCACCCCGAGCACACGCCCCATATCTCCTGGCCCTCTGGCAGTGTTTGGGCATCTCTAGGTGCAGGAGCTGAGCCCTTCTGAGATTACTGAGTTTGTACTCCAGGTTCAGCTCCCAGTGAGAATCCTGTAAGCAATTCCTTCGGTGTATCAATGACTGCCTGAGGTGTGTGTTGGCACACTGGCACTTCGGTGTGCCAAGGGGCACTGGACGAGGCTCTCGTGGTGTGACTGCTGGGTGTCCTGACCCGGCCCAGGAGCTCCCAGTGCTCCCTGTGGGTGCCCAGCCTGGGAGCAGCCCCACTGTCCCTGCTCACCGGTGTAGACGTCCCAGATCTTGATGCGGCCGTTGTTGAGCCCCGTGGCCAGCAGCAGCTGGTCCTGCCCGAACTTGAAGCGGTGCCACTCGACGTTGACGCAGCGGCTCTGCTTCTCGGGCACGGAGGAGCCGAAGGCCAAGCTCCACACGATGTCCCCACAGTCGATGATGTGCTCACAGGGCTTGTTCTTCTGCCCCCCCTCGCCGTGCTGCCTCGCCACCCTGGGGCTGGCCGAGTTTGCACCATTCTTTGTGCCGAGCAACGAGCTGCAAGGCAAACAAACCCAAACACAGAGTGCGAATTATCGCTGAAAGCAAAGAACCCAGAGCGTTCTGCAAGGTGCAGTGAAATCTGTGAGTTGTTACAATGTACCTCTGGGAGACTCTTAATGGAGCATTTCTACTCCACAGTTACAAAAGCAGCTTTTTCTTACCACCTGGAAACCTTCCCGCCCAAATATGATCTAATGCTTTGTACACATTTTTACCTCTGTAGAGACAGCAATATATCACCTGTGAGAGATATCACCCGCTATGAAAACCAACATTTTTGAAGCATTTACAGGAAGGTGAGTTACAAAACTTCTCATGACTTTCTGCTAAATGAGGATGAAGTTCCCTGCAATCCCCTCACATGTGCATCCCTGGGAAGGGACATCAAGGCCAGCACATGGCAAACAACTGACCACCCCAGAGGGGGAAAAAAGGGTCAGGCAAATGCAACTGGCCACAGAACTGCACCAACAGAGCGGGTGTTTTGGACCTTCACTTGCATTCTGGCAGGGATGATAAGGAAAGAGGTTTGCCTCGAAATAAATTCCCAAGAGGTAAACCCAAACAGCTCCGCGATAGGAAATTTAAAGGGCCAGATCTGCCCACGTCTCTAAATTCCCTTTTCATTCTAACTTCCTCTTATTTTAGAGCATCTGAATCACTAACAAATCACCCTCCATTGTCTCTGGGAGGCTGCAACAGCTGTTTCTCTGGATGACCACAGACATAAAAGAGCTGTTCCTTGAAGGAACCACGTTTCTCCCCAAGGCACCCAAGCCTAAAAAGCTGTTTTAACCGACGTAAAGCTATGCCCTGCCGTTAAACCCCGGCGCTCCCCGGGGGCAGTAAAAGCCGCGGAGGTGCCTTACAAGTCGCGGAGACACTGTGCCCACGGGACCAGCTTCACCACGCGGTGTCCCTGCGACCAGGCCAGGTAGGAGCCATCGGGAGCGAAGGCCACGGTCCAGTTCTCGCGGCCGCACTTCTTGTCGAAGGGAGACGAGG